TGAAATACTATAAGGTCGATGAGAATGGCAAAATAAGTCGCCTTCGTCGAGAGTGTCCTTCAGATGAGTGTGGTGCTGGAGTTTTTATGGCCAGCCACTTTGATAGACATTACTGTGGCAAATGTTGTCTTACTTACTGCTTCAACAAACCAGAAGACAAGTAATTATATATGAATTAATAAAAGACATGAACTAAAAAAAAAAATAAATAAATAAATAAATAAATACTTGATCCAGGTGACATCAGGCCTGGGTTGCGTACACCTTCTCCCGCCCAGCTAGGGCCCACCCACCTTTGCTGAAAGGCTTGAATCCTGAGCTGGACCTCAGTGGAGTGGCTGAGCTGGCAAACTCCTGCCACACAGTGGGTAGGGGGGGACGCCTCCCTCAGGACAGTAACACTAACTAGTGACCTTTATGGAAAGAAGGGTGCCAGGCACCACACTGAACTTGCTTCACAGCACCCACTGAGGCACACCCCACCAGAAACCCCATTCACAGATGAGGAAACTGAGGCCCAGACAGACAATGTATAAATTACTATAAATTTTGCCCCCCAAAATGTTCTGAAACAGAAACTTAAAAGTACAGTCACAATATGGCCACACGGTCAGCAAAACAGCAGGACAGCCAAGTGCCTGAACAGCACATGTAAGGGCATGGTAGGAAGACAGAGGTTCTGGTCATAGGGCATGAGTGAGGAGATAGGAAGCGAGATGGAGCCTAGGCAAGGCCCATCTGGGCAGCCAGTGTGAGCAGGCCTGGTCTCCCCACAGGGGCCTTCAAGAAGTACAAATCACTTTGGCGGCCAGATTGGGGGAGGCAGAGGAGAAAATCAAAGTCCTACATTCAGGTATGTTTCTGGCACATGTCTGTGGTCCTGTCAGACCTGGCAGCCCAGAGAGAGGAGCGGGAGTGGGCACAGCCTGGGTCTGCCATGCACAGGTATCCTAACATCAGGGCGAGAAGGGAGTTTGGGGAAGGAGAGGGAAGATCTACCTTCCCTGGGGCGATGGAGGGATCTGACCCTCCCATCCCCAGAGACCATAGTGCTATGGAAAGAGGGTTTGAGATAAAAGTGAATTGGAGGCTCGGCGCCTGTGGCTTAAGTGGCTAAGGCTCCAGCCACATACACCTAAGGTGGCAGGTTCGAATCCAGCCCAAGCCTGCCAAACAACAATGATGGCTGCAACCAAAAAA